TACTATCGTGTATTATATAATAAATTACTTATTTTATTTATTAATATTTCTTATATTACAAAAAAAAAAGGGTGAACATATATTTTGGAATTACGCAATACCAGACATATTCAGATGCGTATAATGGTGTTAGATTTGGTATATGGCAAATAATTTATTTGATATGGATAGGATTATTATGTATTGGATTTATTTGTGGAGAATATTGGTACAATTATCGAAATGGTGTTTTCTTTTGGAACACTTCTGATCCCGAGGATAATCAACATCGTATTGAATCATTAATTAATGGTTATAATAAATTGCCTGACATAACTTGGGATGTATGTTATAAATAATTGGGTTTTTATTATTGACGAGAGTGGATTTAATTAATTAGCTAATTGTTGTTTATTATTATCATTAACATTATTTCTTTTTCCCTCCTCCTTCTAATTTATTTAAATCAGGATGTGAATCAAAGGGTAGCCAGTGGTGCCCATTTGGTAGTAGCAGAAGGAATAGTTTTTGATATTAGAAAATGGATATGTAATCATCCTGGTGGCGCTAAAATATTAAAACGTGTTATTGGAACTGATATAACGCAAGATTTTTTTCATGATAAATCAAAAATACAACAAACGCAACCAATACAAAAGCCTATCAATAAAAATTTAATAATACAAAGTAATAATGACGCGGAGAAATTATTGTATAGTCGAGCTAAAGTCGCTACAATTGATAAATATGAAAATTATGACGATGCTGATTTTGTTGAAGATGGTAAAGATGAAGGAGATGAGAATAGTAATAATCTTAGTGAGATAGGAGATAATTATAATAATAATCATAGTGGCAGTTTAAAGAAACGTAACATTCAAAAAAAATTACACAGACCAATTTCGCTTGCAGTAAAAGTTGATCAAATCAATGCAAAAACTTCTTTTAATAATAAAATATCACGTGTAGCGATTCACAGTCATAGTAAATTTGCCGCAACAAAATTAGCTACAATGGCAATCGCAAAATTATTAAAGAATGATCATCTTCGTAATAATCGATTAACGTTCTTACCATCTTCTCAATCCTAATTTAAATCAGCGAAAAAAAGATTGCTGATGATGACGATGATGATGATGATGGTGATGATGTTATAGTTTGGGTTGTTGTTGACATT